ATTTTTCCCCCACCCCTTCATAAAGTCATGAATTGCCCACTACCCAGAAGTGAACTGCGCAAATCCAAATCCTGGTCCGTAATCCACCATTCTGCATTCCTGAATACGCGAATTGGGGCCAGGTTGGGTTCAAGTTATCAAAAGTTTTTTCGTTCTGGGGGTTGAGTTATTCGTTTACCTATGAGTAGCACGGAATACCCAGGGTAACCAAAAAAATTAAGGTATAATAACGTGTTGCTTCCCCAATTTTATTGTTTCGGTTTGGTAATCCAGTAGCTAGCCGTTGGCGAGAACTCAGCTGCTTCTTATCCATCCTACGGTGAATGGGGAAGAACGCGACCTAGCCTGATACTCTCTAAAAGGAAAAAGCGGAAATTAAAACAATAATGATGTAAAAACTTGTATTTGCGAAGTATACTTCCCAAGTATATACTTTTGATAGTCAAACCCAAGGGAGGGGTGATATCGGAGATAGTAGTGTTCTCTGCTAGCAATTAGGAGTTACCACCACCTCCTGCGCCAGAGGGGCCTGCTGTAGCTTCACTAAGGAGTTTCTGACGGAGGACTGTTCGGCATGCTGTCAGATGTGTGTTACTTGTGGAAAGAGAGTGGCCCCCCAAACAAAAATATATAAATATATACTCACCGTCCTCAATAACGCGTAGATTTTGGCTCTTCGCTTGAACGACCTTCTCCAACTCTCGTAAGTTCGTACCTAGCTCGCCAACCTTGCCATTGTAGAATTCGATTGCCTTCGAGGTCGTCTACATCAGGAGCAAGCAGTTAGTTTATTGTTGGACTGCAGCGAAGAGCTTTGCCCGAATCAATCGTCTCATCTTCACTTCACCTGGTAAACGCAAGGTAGAGTAAAATAAATATCAACAAGAGAAAAAGAGAAAAAGGAAAAAGGAGCACAACCTTCTCCACAAAAAACCCCGTCCCAACATCTACAATCACATTTTTCCTATCCGCTAATCTCCCCTTAACATACAACGAGTTGGTCAAGGGAACCAAAATTTCATCGCTCTTTTCCGCAGAAACGCTTTTATTGCCCCCGCTGTAGCCCGCACCGCTAGGGGCTGCTACACCATCGTTTATCGAGCGGATGCAATCGCGGAACTTCGACTGTGCGTTTCGTAACTTTGCGTGGGAGCTTGTGAGATGTTCTAGCTCTGAGCTTAGGCGGGCTTGGAGGGCGCGGAGTTGTGGTGCAGAGAGGGCTGCAAGGTCGACTATAAAGGTTATTGGTTTCGAGTTAGCTGGCTAGAATTTGAAAAGGACTAAGGGCAATATTCATATATATATTGTTTGGTAAATAACATTTTTCTGGAGGGAAGGGCTTTTGAATGGGGAATTGGGCACAATGTGATTTTTGGGCTTGGACGAACTTGCTCCAGGAGGGGTTTCGCTGGACTCTTGCTCTGCGGAATGGTTTTGTGAGGACATCGTTCTTCGCTTGTTTTGGTAGACGGTATAGGAGGAGCAAGACACAAGCAGGAAAGATAGTCGATTAATTGTTTTTGGCGATATATGGTGGTTGGGTACGAGTATGTGTTGCAGACGTGGTAGTTATTACTAGTATTTATGATTTTGCAAAGTTGCTAGTTGGGGAGAGGTTGACATCACCAAATCTATCAACAGGGAGCTATGGAGAGGAAGAATCAACAAGACCTTATTTACACACACGAATCGATGAGTGCTCATGGCTTCTGTACGACATAATGTCAGATTCATTTTGTAGGGATAAAGTCTTATTGAGATAATTTCAATTGTTGAGGAAAGCCATGTTAATATTGGGGTATAAATAAATACATGATAAATTCAACTTTTCTGTGTCTCCCGAACAAACCCGATATATATAATACATTTTAATGAAATATCATAAAGGAACACTAGAGTCTATTAAGTAGCGATGTAGTGAGTGGATGCAAATCTGGCAGCGATACCGTTTCCCGGAGATTGTTTAGTCGATGACACTGAACTTCCAGTTTGTTCTCCATCCTCCAGGACTTCCCAACGACGATTATTACAGGATACCCTATTAAATCGGCATCTCTGAGTTTCCATGCAAGATTCTTGTCTCTATCGTCAATTATCGCATCAACGGCATCGATATTTATTCGACTGATAGCGTCATAAACCTTTTCAGCTTCCTCCTCCAGGCCTTTATCCGGGATGATCATGGCCTCGAAGGGAGCAATTGCCCTTGGCCAGTTAAGCCCTTTGGAGTTGGCCAGGCTGTCCGCAATAGCGGATATCATGCGTGAAACACCAATGCCATGACATCCCATTTGAAGGGGAACAGAGAAAGTACTGTTGTCGTTTGCTTTAGAGTCGTTGCTTAGCAATGTTGAAGGTACAGCCACAGAAGCGTTAAGCACTTTGCTATATCGAGTTCCAAGATGGAATGTATGCGCAAGCTCAATAGCAGTGTGGGTTTGTACCGCTTGTTCACCGCATCTGGAACATTGGTCTCCAGCCGCAGCACTTATGCAGTCGAGTTTTGCACCGGTACCAGGGTATTGGTGTAGGGATGAGAACCGCACATTCAGCTGCTCCAAAACTTCTCTGTTCTGCCCAGATGGGAGAGGAGGGTGATTGTAAACACGTACGCGATGGTCATAAATATCTAAAATCGTAGGACGATTTGGCCGAGTGCCAGGTGGGGTTTTCTCCTCTCTGGCTATACTTTGCCATTTTGCTAACGGACTAGTCACGCTGGTATCGAGATCTACCCCCGCTGAGCAGGCAATTGCCCTCACAGCATGTGAATTGATCTGCCGCTCAACTGGCTCTGAGCAGCCGCCACGTATCAGATACTTCGGATAGAATACTCTCACAAGAGTATTTCCATCCTTCGAGATACTCATCCACATGCCAGTTGAAATCGCTGGTGCTTGTTGCTCCCCGAACCCGACAGATTTACCATCTTGAATGGGATCCGAGGGCGGTCTAATGTCTTGGTATGCTTTTCCGTCCGAAAGCTCTTCATTGTATACATAGCGACAGTTTGAACAGCTAATGATGGTGTCCTCGCCCTTAGGATTTGGGAGATGGAATTCATGACTTAAACTTCCTCCCATGTTACCAGAGTCTGCAGTAGCAATAATGTAAGGTATCCTAAGCTCATCGAATAGTCGTACGTATGTCTCTTTGACTGCATTGTAAGTCTTTATTGCCATCTCGGCATTGTAGTCGAAAGTGTAAAGGTCTTTCATGATAAATTCTCTACCTCGAAGTAACCCCTGTCGGGGTCTTGGCTCATCTCGATACTTCCTACCTACCAATTAAACAAATATAGATTAGTAGCAGGTGATAATCCAACATTGGGAATACTCACTTATCTGGTACACTCGTAATGGAAGGTCCTTATAGGAGTTCATAACACCCGCAACAAGTGAAGTAATTTCTTCCTCGTGGGTTGGAGCAAGAAGAAACCTGGCCTTTTTTCTATCTTGAAATTTAAAAAACTAACGTCGAAATTTTTCAGTCAAGTATCCAGAAGTAGCTTTAAGTATCATATAATACCTCAGAATCTTTTTTCAGTCGACCCGATTTTTCCCATAAGGCTTGGGAAGATATAGAGGAGAGAGACAACTTTGAAGCGCCTTTTTATAGACGTAAACAAACGAACTATCATTTATTGAACAAGTTGGATATCTCACCAAGCGTGCGCATGTGTTTATCCACCAGACGCTCCAGTTTCTCCTGAACCCGAAGTCCAAGGGGAAGCATATGAAATACCCCGGAATAAGCCTATCAAGGGGTAAGTGAAGGAAAACCGCAACTCAGAGGCACTGAATTTCACCTGGCCGGAGAAAGCCACCCTGACCACAAATCACTTGTATCTGGAAAAGAATGCTTA